GTAGAGTATGAAATGTCAGTATAACAATACTCTAAAAGGAGGGGGCGGGGTTATTCTAAATAAATTGTATAACTTTTGCAATGGGCTGAAATTGCCTTCAACCACTTTTACTTAATTACTTACTCACTCTTCTCTGGATCTGGCACATTAGGCACTGCCTTGCCTTGCTTCAGAAAGGTAGTCAAATGAGAAAGGAGGGGTGACATTTTGAGTGTCCAAATTAGTGGTGGTTTCCCAAAAAAGTTAATTTGTTGCAGTATAAATAGAGCCACAGGATCAGAGTAAAATGTACAGTACGTTATAGTATAAGCCTTAGTAGCGTCAGCCAATAGAGTTGGGCAGCCAATAAATTTAAATTAATAATAAAAATAGCTGTTGCAGTACTTTGTAGACTGATATAAAGTGGCAAGAAATCGGTTTCAACAGAACATCTCCCCCAGACTCCATCAACTTTTGCAGGATTGTGTTTCCCTTGTTCCCTTTCCTTGTTAATCGTCTGTAAAAATGATTATGCTATTATTCATTGAATGACTTCATTCATTTATGAAATAAAATAGTTTCTGTTTTATGTAAATGCTGCCCCCATTGAGCGTCACATTACTGGTTAGTGATTGCTTACCTTGGATACACCATGAGTCATTTGGAGAGTATGTCAAATCTAGCAGAATTTGCCATAAAAGAAGTAAGAGGAACAAAAGTAATTGTGCTGTCTTTACCAACTCAATGCCTTCCACATGTGGGCTACAACTCTGATCATCCATTTATACAGCAGCAGATTTTAAAACATAATGTTGATTGATGAGGGCTGTAGTAGGCTCTAATCCATGTATTTTTGCAAAAAAAAAAAAAGGAAGTGCTAACCTGCCTACTTTTGTAATTTGCCCTTAGCATCCCTTATTTTAATGAAAAATGTCCTCAATCAAATTTCTAGCATTTACACAAGCGATTAGCAGCTATGTGCATATATGTACTTTTAGATGAGACATAGTGGTGGTGCAGTGGTTAGAATGCAGTACTGCAGGCTAATTCTACTGACTGCCAACTGCTAGCAGTTCAGCAGTTCAATTCTCACCAGCTCCAGGTTGACTCAGCCTTCCATCCTTCCAAGGTGGGTAAAATGAGGACCCAAATTGTTGGGGGCAATATGCTGACTCTGTAAACCCATTTAGAGAGGGCTGTAAAGCACTGTGAAGTGGTATATAAGTCTAAGTGTTATTGCTATTTGTTTGGAACTATGTATTAACATACATAGGCCTTATAGTACTATTCATTAGTCCTATAAACAAAAGAAGTAGAGTGATATTGTATATCTTTACAACATTAATAATTCTAATAATACTTTAGACAGTTAACATACTGTAATTCCAGATCCTTCTAATTTAGGATTCCAGAATTGATTCAAAATATTATTGAATATATAATATCCACACATCATTTGTGCAATTATTTGTATGGAAAATCATTTTCTTACTCTTTTCGTTTAGAGAGTTTTGTGCTATATGTGTGTCTGTGAGTTTTGTATTGTCATCCTTGCAACAACCTGGCACATTTTCATATAGTACAGTGAGATAAAATGTTAAATTAATTAATACATGCCATGTTTAGCTCCTGCATACCAGGTTTTGAAGGATCATTTTATATGAAGTCAAAATAGACATCTTCTTGAATCCCCTTAGCCTAGCCCTAGATTATGTAACCAACATCAACTAAAGTACATTCACCCAAGACAACAGACATTTTGAATTCACATAATGTTAAGAGCCTCCTGTGTTCATGGCATGGGGAGAGTAGCAGAAAAATGATACCATGAACACTTTTATTGTTGAAGATTTTTCCCTTTAATATGTTGTGAGAACCACATTCTTGTGAAATGGAGGTTAGACTGAAGGATGGTGGTGAATTTGATCAGTGAGGAAATCAGAATATTAGTAGAATATAAGCTCTACCTGGATGTGCTTTTAAAAAGATGATAGATAGATAGATAGATAGATAGATAGATAGATAGATAGATAGATTGATTTGATCCTGTGTTCAATTGGCTATAAACTCTCCCTGTTGTATGATATCAGGACATAAGACAAATAGAAATCCAAGGATTCGGTAATGTACCCTCTAGCATACTACAGAAATAAACCAACCCGCCTCTAAAAGACTAGGACACTCATTTGGTTGAACCAAAAAGTTGGTTATTGCAATATGTCTGTCATTCTTGCCATCTGGAAGTCCCCACTCTAATTATTATCTGTCAAGAAAAACCTTAAATAGATGTAAACTCGTAAAACTATAGAATCAAACAATGTGAAACTGCTAGGCTACAGGACAAATAAAATAAATAAGACAAATTTTGAAGGAATGTAATCCTGCTTATTGGGAAACCTGGATTCACATTCTGAGCTATTTTTGGAAATATCCTGCATTTCTCAGCTCCACAAGTTGCTGTGTACATTGTTATCCTTCATCTTTCACTCACAGCTAGAAACTAGTGTGGTAGCCTTATGTACTTTAAGGTACAGAAGAGAGGAATATCCTAGGAAACCAGATATTTCTTTTCCTAAAACTAAGCTCAATTCAGGAGCTCTTATTGTATATTTTGGTTCTCAATGTTCTAAAAAGGGAGAACTGGAAACCATATGACTTTCTGTTCTGGGCCAAAAGTTTTTGGAATGAGGCCTGACTTTCTGAAGAACCAAGAACCATGATCTTTATAACTGAGCCAGGACATGTCTCAGTGATTACAGACTCTGATCAAATTTTTGCAAGATACTTTGTATGCGTCCAAAAGAACACAGAATGGAGTGAGTGACCTACCATTTGAACAAATGGAACAGCCAGACAGTTGCATTAAAATACTGTCCTTGAGCATTGAGAAAAGTATGTTGGTGTGAAATTTGCTGCATGGCTTTGCCGTGTTCTACTCCCAGGCAAATCAAGGAAAGCAACTGGTAAATTTTCATGAGTTTATTTTTCCATCTACCATACATCATCTGAAGCAATAAAACAACCACCCATCATTCTGCCTTTCCTTGGGTTGGGTAAGTATAAGAGAAGGCCTAGCCACTGGTCACAGATCATAGAAGATGCGCTCTGGGGCTACTTCTGAACATGGCTTTAATGCTCTTCTAAAACACTGAAGCCATTCTCCAAAGTAGCCAGGATGACAAAATTTGGACGACATAGGATGAAATGTGAAGGTTCAATCCATAGTGAGCAAGGGAATGGCATTGCCGGCAGCAAATCCAGATCAGCCCCAAAGACCAAGAATCCAAAATAGAATGGTCACAATAAGTATTTTCCTTTCCAAGCAGAGTAATAAAAATAGTAAAAAAGCAGAACTAGATCCTTTGTTGCAGGAACAGCAGGAAACTTGTACCAATGGTGACAGAATCAACAACACAGTTGGTAAAACTGAGCTCTTTTTTATTAGAATCAACCAATGCAGCACACAGGACAAGCAATCTTCAAGAAAGCTTTGCTTTGCTTCTTTTAATAAAGAGCTAGTACTTTTTCAAAAGAGATATAAACTCTTGTTTGTAAAAAGTCCATGTAAGATCTGAAAAAGGCACTGGAAAGTACCAATCAAGCATTAAATGGGCAGATGTCTCTGAGAAAACCAGTTCCCTAGTATATCTCCTACATCCCAAGCTAAAATCATCACTGGGAGCAGATTTCTGTCAACAGGAATTCTGTAGATCTTAGTATGATTTCATCAGCAGTAAGATTGTTGATGAAATATACTATATTATATCTGTGTCAAAAATGTGCCAGGAGAAGAGGAAAAGCATTAACTTTAACATTGGATCAGCTATGTGCAACTTTAAGATGTGTCAACTGTGGTCAGGAGATGAGATATATGTCACCAAGACATGACATTCTTTTAAAAGTAGTAGGACACATTCATATTATAGTCAGGAAAATTTGAGGATGAGCCTGTAATCTACAGAGATGTGAGGCTTTGATTTAAAAAAAGATGCAAAATGGGAATTTGCATCTTTAATAGGATCTGAAATGAGAAGAAATGCAGGTACATTTTTTAGCTCTCATGTACATAGGAAGACTGAGGTTCCCCCATCTTAAAAATCTTGCTATTACTTGTAGGAACTGCATAGCAGGAAGAAATACAGTCGGTGAATATCTCTTCCACAAACATCATACACTCTACCTTTATGCTGTGCAGTGTCACACATAAATTTCCTTGGTTTTTATATAGGTGATGAAACCAAAATAAAATGGCTTGGGAAGATGGGAAGAGAAAAGTCACCCTCTTCATGGAGCGGGCTTTCTCTTCACTTTTTGCCATCTGATGCTCCTGTGTATGGAGAAAAGGGCTTGCAAGCTTTCTTAACACATATCTATGGCATAAATACAACAGCTGTCCATTTGCTGGCAGCCAGGCACACACTTCCTTCTGACTCTTAGCTCTGGCAATTATGGGGAACGAAGCAGCTTAGTCGCGGGTGGACCTGGCCTGTAGCTCCACTTAGAGAGCCTCTGAGGAGATTCTTCACGACCGTCGACTCTGAGGGGATCTGCCTTGGGCGGTGCGCGCTTGTTCGTCAAATCGTTCAAATGACTCGGGCTCCTTAAGTGCTACTTTCGCGACCTTTTACTGATCCCTGGAGGACCCGTGCACTGGGGGCGCGGGGGAAGGGAGGAATGCGCGCGCCCTTCTCCACCCCACCTCTGCCGCTCGCCCGCCTTTCACCGCAGCCCCGACACAAGCACAGCCGCCACCACACACGCTTTTTGGTCTAAGCCTCCCGGTTGGCCGCGGCGTCCCATTGAGACGCGGGGCCTGTTTGGGGCTTTTACAGTAGCTTTCGCGGCGGCGCATGAGCCAATTCCAGGAGCCCCGCGGCTTGGAGCCGCGCCCTGATTAATACCGGAAAGCGTTCTGATTGGGTGGCGCCCTCCCCTATGCAAAAGAGCTGAGGGAATGACATTCCTCTGGACTCTCTTACTGTAACAGCAACTTCATTTCCAGTCATCTCCATTCATAGGGCCAGAAGGCGCGAGGGAGAGAGAGGGGGAGGAGGGGGAGCCAGGCTTTCTTCAGATCAGCATGAGCAAACAAACAGTGCCTCGCAGAAGGTCACACACAGCTGGCAGAGAGGCTGGCCTGTACGGGAAGCAGACCTCGGGAAAGCTTGCCGTTGGAGTTTGGTGAACGCGCGAACCCCTTTTCTGCGTTGGGAGCGCGACTTCTGCCGGGAGGAAGCTCCGGTGTTTGGCCAATTCGTACTTCGGGGAGACTTGTTTTGCTTTTTTGCGGGGGTGGGACGGCGTCTTGTTTTGTCTGGCCACCGCGCGTGCTGCTAGCCCTGCTTGAGAGAAGGAACAGACCTGGACCGCTCAGCCTGGAGTTCACGTCCAATTGAAGTGAAGTGAAAGGAGAGCGCGCGAAGGGAGGACTGAGACATGAGGGGAAAACCAACGGCGGTCCCGAAAGCAGAGCTCCACCTGCTTGTGGTTAAACCATAGCCGAGAAGCCGGCCCCTGTGGGTGAATTGGAGGAATATTACTTCAGATATTTTCCTCCACAGTTGGCAGTGACTCACGCAGCGGCCACAGAGTGTTGGGTGACTTCTAAAATTGCTGCGAACATTAACCACAGAAAGAACCCACAAGCCAACCAGCGACTCCAACCAAAAGGGTTTCTTTCTCTCTCTCTCTCTCTCTCTCTCTTCCTCCCCTCCGGGCGCGTTTCAGATTGTTGGCACACTGACATCTCAGGACTTGTACAAGTCTCTTTTGAATTGAGACAGCCTAAGTAATTTAGTCAAAGCGTTGCGAAACCGGGACAGGAAGACTTCAGAGCAACGCGAGGCAAACTACTCACACGGGGGTTCAAGGCTGCTTTGGCTGGTGGGGAAAGGACGTTGCTGGAGAACATTAATGGCGTTCTGTTGTGTTTAAATTCTCCATAGAGTCAGCTGTAAATATTTGATGAAGTACACTATATAATGCTGTGATAGCCGGTTGACCTTTGAAAACCTCAGCTCGCGTCCTCTGCAGCCTGTTTCCCCAGTTTCTTTTAAACCGCTTTTCTCCCCCATCCACGTGTGCGACAAGAGACTTGATGCGTTGATCGGAATTCTTAGACAGCCTTTAGGAGCAGCGGGAGGGGAAGACTATGAACTTCGAAAAATAATAGGAAATTAACTACTGAAAAGTCTAGGTCCTTCCCTCCTTTTGTGTGTGTGTGTGTGTGTGTGTGTGTGTGTGCGTGCGTGGTGGGGGTTGTTTCAGACATTTCCTCCGCTCAAAACGTTTCTCAGTGTGTGGGATTTCAGAAGAACCTTTGATTTTAATAACACTGGTAATTCCCCGAGGGGGTGGAAAGCAGAGAAACTTGTCCAAATCTATAAGGCCGTTTTTCATTTTTAAAGAGCACACATAGACTTCCAGAGAAGAGCAACCTAAAACTGGATGCTTGGGTTAATTCTGGCAGGACCAGGAGCCCGGGCGTTCCCCTGCTCTGTCCAACTAGTCCAAATTCGCTCCTGGAGTGGCTTCGCTTCGTTTGCCCCTTCTGCACCGGGACCCTAAGCCTCTTTCTTTTTATGTTGGTCTCCCGAGAACCGCCGGCTGAAGAGTTGCGCTCGTATCGCTTTATCCGAAACTCTCTGAGGACCTTTTTCACTCAAAAGGCTTGTTGTGATGCGTATCCCCGTAGATACCAGCACCAGCCGCCGCTTCACGCCGCCCTCCACCACTCTGAGCCCGGGCAAGATGAGCGACGCGCTGCCGCTGGTCGGCCAAGAGAACGGCAACAGCGCCCTGGTGGGGAAACTGAGAAACGCAGATCGCAGCATGGTGGATGTCTTAGCCGATCATCCGGGAGAACTGGTCCGCACCGACAGCCCCAACTTCCTCTGCTCTGTCCTGCCGACCCATTGGAGGTGCAACAAGACTCTGCCGATCGCTTTCAAGGTAGGAAGGTGGGGGACAAGGACCTGGGGAGGGGGGAGAGACACTACGCAAGTATAACTGCGGAATCATATTGGGGGGGGGGGGGGGGAAACGATTTTTCTGTCACCCTTTGCAGCGGACAGCCAATCTCCCAATTCATTCGGGAAGATATAATACTGAAGGAGGATTCCAAATAAATCCTCAATAACTTCAGGGCTGCAGCCATGCCATTGTTGAGTACTTAATCACAAGTAAGATCTACTGATAACAATGGCACTTATTCGTACAGCTGTCATTAGTTTTGCAAGCTAAAAGTGCAAGTTGCTGTTCTGAGTTTCACCACTGATTTCTAGTCATTTGTGCTCTATGCCAAACATTTGTAATTTGGACTAGGATTTGAGAGGGTAAGAAATGGCAGAAAAAAGAATTAGTCAACTCTTCTGATTTCTTTCAATAGGTCTTATTTTCAAGGAATCAGTTCCTTTTCATGTATGTAGAAAAGTGTTCTGGAAATTGATGGGATTTACCAACAAATGTGTAAGCATTCTCATCCAGAAAAACAATTCCAAGAATATTTTGTGAAATAAATTCTACTTCTTCCTATGGGAAATAAACTTTGCAATTTTACAGCACAACCTTATGCATTTTTCAGAATAATCCCCAGTTTTGACTGTACTTTAAGGTACATGAGGTTCAAACTATATTGAGAATATGCTGCCAACACAACAGGGCCACTTCCATGCACAGGCTTGTATTACAATTTCATACAGTGCCATTATAATCTGCATCAACACTAGATTTTATTTTACCGCTTTGAAATATATACTAGACTGATCCAGTGTATTGTAAAGCATTTTTTTTAATTACATAAGGCAGCAGCGTATACTCTGAACTTTAACTCTTCATAGTCAACACCATCTTTGTAGCCTTATGAAGATGCACTTTTGCCCAAGTACACAAGTGCCAGGAGGGATGCTAGGAAAGACCATTTAGTTTTGTATTAAGATCAAGCATCCCAACAATCAGCATGCCTTCAAGAGACCATGGCAATTGGCCAGTGGAGGATTACAGTTTTCTTTTTACCTAACCTTGATTGATTCAATCCAAACAACCTGATCTTGAGACCATAACTATTGTATCCAAAGCAGACAATATTTAAAGCAATCACTGGATGCAGTGGGGTTTCTTGCTATATCAGTACTCTCAGGGATAACAATCAGCCACCAGCTCAACAAGAGAGATCAAAAGATTTCATGCCAAGATATTCTTGAAAAGCAGGTGATGGCATACATCTTGGGAAATATTTCAAAGGAAGGTGGATCAGATCAAAAGATTTCATGCCAGGTCAAAAGGTTTCCCTACCCCTTCTCCAGCTGACAGTGACAACAAAATGAATTACAACCAGTATCTCCAACTCCAAGACTGTTAAACAGAAGAACTGGGATCTATAACTGATTGTCATATCTCTTTCATCTTAATATCTATGACATATGTGCAAATGGAGTAGTAACTGCAACAGAGTTGCCACATGCCCTTTGTGTATCTCAATTCCAGATAGACTTGTGGGATCTAAAAGCAGATTAGATTTCCTGTGATCAATGTAAAGACTATTGAATGAATTAAAATTTCTGAGTCTTAATTAGAAGTTCCTTACAAAGTAATTTTCAAAAGCTAAATGAAATGGGTTTTCTAAATGTGTTAACAATTTTTGAATTATGGTAAGCAGTATTAACTCCTTTTATTTCATTTATCAAAACGTTAATCTCCATGTTCAAAAAATCAGAGTAAGAGAGAAAAGTTCACTTTAAAAGTACTGTGCCTCTATAGTTGCACTTCATTAACAACTCAGCCTACGACTTTAGCTACATCAACTTGGATAAAGCAAAATATTCATAATGACACTAATTAAAAAATTAGTGCTTGAACTGCAAAATTATAGGCTTTTGATTGATATTAGGATCCAATTCCACCAAAGGGACAAGTCTAGATTTTTTTCTGCATCTTGAATTTGTAACGAACAAACAAAACAATTAACGCCCACCCCTTCCAATTACTCATCTAAAAAAAATATCTGAGAATTTTATCCCAAAGCTGGGGAGTGTCTAGTATTTGCAATTTGGCTAAAACTAAGATTTCTCGTAGCGGAAGCCGCACTTCCCTAAAGCAATTAATAATTCCGCGGTGCAGGGACCTTGCTTTGTTCCTTTTCCTTCGACGAGTAGGGCGTGATCTAAACTTTAAATTGAGGCGACCCAGAAGGCACGTTCTAGGATTCAGAAATAAATGCTCGTCTATATTGACAAACGAGCTTCTAGGTGAAGGAACGAAAAGGGAAATACTGTATGAGTTACAATTCAAAAAGAGTTACCCATAGCGTTTTAATTCTGAAACCTGCAAGTCCACTTGGATCTCACATAAGCTCTCACCGATCTCCCAGCGGCTACTAGTACACGTGTCTAATCAGTGACCCACCAAGGCGATAAACAGAACCTTGTCAGGCGAGTTAAGGCTGTTAATAAATCCAACGTGCCTGGACAAATCCTGCGAAGGGGCATCTCAAAAGAAAAAATGTATCAGAAAAGCGCCCTAGCTTTCTCCTAAAATAACCTTCGCAGTCGCTCGGTATTCTTCATTTCTGGAGGGTTGCTCTGGGGCTATGATTTCTCGGCCTCCTCCTGAAAAGCGGAAGTGCGAGTCTAACAACGAGAAACGTGCCCAGATCCGGTATACTTTGACTTAAAAACCTCCCGCCAATCATTTCATGGACTCGCACCTGTTGATAAGTAACAACTTTCACTCGCACGAGTCTTTCCCCATCCCTGTCCTTTAGTAAAGGAAGACCCCGGCTTCTTGCTTTTTGGTTTAATCTTTGATTTTTGTTTTTCTCAATTACTTGGCACCGGGCGCACCCCGTAATCAAGGCCTGCGCCTTGTTTGCCTCTTCTCCTATTCCCACTTGTGCCCTCACACATTTCTAGAGCGTGAACTTTTCCTGCCACCGTGCTTGTACTCGTACTGAATTGCACTTGGAAAAGAACAAGCGCTACTGCAGCCCGTTAATTGGCCGGGAAGCGTCTTCTTCCACCTTCCCCGCTGTTATTTTTCTTTTGAAATGTCTTGGGTGGATTAATTATTTCAGTTGTCTAAAAAAAGTCTTCCCCACTGTTCCGCGTCGGTTGTTCGTGCAGTTATTCCTTCGCCTTTTGAGCGGGAACCGTTTAAGGATCGCGGGCTAGCGTACAAGATAGAATGGGGTCCGAATAATTGCAACATGTGCAAACTATGCCCCCAAATCTTGCTAGGACGGATTTAACCGCAGGGCTAAGGGCAGAATGCTGGGCGGTCTTTTTTCTGGCAGTCCCACACGCGATCTCTTTAAATTCTTGCTCTGCACCTAGAGGGTAGCAAGTCCTGCTTATCTTAGACCGAAGCGTCTTGATTTGTCTTCATTAAGAAATGCAAGTCACTGTCTCCGAAAACTGCTTGTTTTCCCTTTTTACCACCAGTGCAATCTTAGCGGCGATTAAAAGTGCAGCCGTGAAGAAGCTACTTGGTTGGAAGGCCGCGGTGTAGTTGTCAGATGGTTCACAAAATATTTCCATTCCGAGAGGCTCTTAACAGGCAAGGATCACTCCCCCACCCATCACCTTTGGCTATGCTTCAATTTTTTCACTTCCCTACCGGCTGACAGCCGCCAGAATATGCTTCCTCTTTTATCTTCAAATTTGAGCACAGCTCTTAAATAATCACCATATTTTGGCTGGAATGCCTGCCTGATTTTTTTTTTTAAGCAGTAGCTAAGGTGAGAAACAAGGAAATGTTCAATTCCATTTCTTCAGGATTTTTGTACTCGGATCAGCTGTCCTGTAAGATTCAGCATCAAATCATTTTGATTATTGTTTCTCACTGCACCTGTTATTATCTTTAACAGTAACTCCTTCATAGACTCGTAACCAAATCCCTTAGCAAAATTGAGTCGACGGGGAATTATTAGAAATATTTGAATAATATAGGGAAGAAGTTAGTGATGTGAAATTATTAATTCAAAAGCTTGGATCTATAAGAGTTTGCTTTTTGCCAGTGTTTTGTAAAACATTTCACAATCTAAAATAAATTCACAATCTATTATTTGTAGAAATTTTCTTTCAAAATCAAATGTTCATTTAGTACTGCTTTTATTAGAATTAATGACTAATGATAAATGTTTTCTGGTATTATTTACTTGATTTGATAACCATGAAGTATCTCACAAAATTACTTTGCCTTAAATATCTTAAAAGGAGAACTTACTATTCCAATTAGTAGGTTTTAATAGTAAAGTTGCTTTAAACATCTGATATTCCATCCAGTTTGCATAAAAACCATTTTTGTAAACTCAGCAATTCAATCTCCAGTCAGCAAGTTCTAGCTTATCTGTTTAGACTGTTTTATAATGTAAATGTTTGTGTTCTTTGACTCTTTTACAAGCTTTAATTACCAGTCACATTCTCCTGGGCCTACAGATTTTTTTCTATTGTTTTTGCTAGGGCCTTACTAGAATTTTTTCACCATGGAATAAACATGGTGAATTTAACAAATATGCTCAGTACTTTAAAGGCAGAAATATTTTTGAGGTTTTTTAGAACTACAACATGAATATTAAGAAACATGCACAGAATTAATATTTTCTAGAATATTTCCATTTATTGTAAGTATTGTGTTGAATTTTCTTAGTTTAACTGTTTTTCATCACTGAAAATATAAAATACTGTATCTTGAGGAATACTCCTGAAAAACCCAGTGTCGAGTTGTCTAATATACCTTGAATTCTTTATGCTAGAAATATCTAAAAGCTTCAGCGAGAAAAGCTCCAAATCTAATAATAGCTACAATAATTTATTAAATATTGCAGGCCCTATTTGCAAAAGAAAGCCCAGGGCCATACAGGTTGGCAACATGTGGAAGAGGCCATCATCCTGCAGTGGATAGGCAATGGCTAAAATGATGATGATGAATTTATTAAATATATATGCTGCCTGACTCCCAGCCACTCTGTGCAACTTACAGATATTTTTGCATACTTGGATCACTCAGAAGATTTTGAATATTTAATATTTATTATATGAGCATGATGATGGAAAGAAACTTTAGATAATGAATTAAGTTGTAGGTAGCATGATTTTTTTTCATTTCTGTACATTTAACCTTAGAATGACTGAGTTTACACACTTGATTCAGGCACAGTTGACAAAAATTATAATATCCTTAGATAACCTTTAATCCTAAATAGTACTTTTCATTTATTCCAACAAAAATGGTCATTTTTATTACTATACAGATTCTATCATTTTGGAATTTGTCTTGGAATTTGTCCGACATTATTTCCCCCTTAAAACATTTGTCTGCTTTTTGAATTTTACATGAATATTTTATTATTCCGAATATGTTAAAAAGAAAGACAAAAGGGTAGTAGCGGGTGAATGTGAAAAAATAAATTGTGGTTTCAGTTGATGCAGGAAGAGAAAATATTTCTAAAACTGTTCTGAATCTGTAGGAGTCATCTACAATTAATAAATTATGGTTGTCCCATAGTCAACTAGATGTTTAGACTCCATTTGGCATTTTTGTCCACCTATTGATTCCTTCCCAAGAACCCAGAATAGGCAGGTGTTGTTGTTCAATAATATTAAAGGTATTGTCCCAGGATGTAAGCTATTCCATTGATTAGTAGTGATTTTGTCAATACTAATGGTGTTCAAGTAGTGCTTTAGGTGTTTTCGGATTGCCACCCAAGGCGCCTATTACTACTGAAGCTATCTTTGGTTTCTTTTGCCACTTCTGTTTGAAGGTCTTTGTGTTTTGTGATTTCCAATGTCTTGGTTCTAATTATTTATGTTGTACTAAATTACACTGATTTTGAATGAACTTCAGTTCAGTGCAATTGGTCCTAATCCAGGAGAAATATAAATGGGGAAAAAGTGAATAAACCAAACTATTACCGGTAGCACTTAGTGCTCATGTACAACTGTAATAAAGTTAAGCTCTCAGAAGTAACAGTGGGATAATAGAACACTCTGAAAGAAAAAAAAACAGTGACAAAAGTAAAAACTAAAGTTCAGCATAATGGCAGGATACCATAGGATAAATTACAAAAGAACTGGCTATGTAAGTTTAATAATAAGATGGTCATTGTTATAGCAAGTTATGCATATGACTATTTATAATCAAACATAAATGAAAATGCAAACTTTCTCTAACCCATATAGAGGAAATATAGAGTGAAGCCATCAGAGCTACAATTTGATTAAAAAAATTTCATTAATATATTATGTAAGCTAGCATTTTATGTAAGCAATCTCCTTATGACAACTCACTACAGTTTTGATGTGATATATGTACTGCATTGTTAATAGTAAAATAGTAAATAGTATTTAATAGTTAATAGTAAAAATCTTTAAGGTTGTTATTGCTCTTGCCTTATAGAACAGGGTAATATGCTTTTCAAGATTCTCATAAAATCGGATTAGGATTTTTAAACCATGGATAGGTGGATATGTCTTAGAGTATGACTCATTCCCAACAATAAACCATGATGGTTGGAATTATATATCATGCTTAGGGAAAAGCAAACAAAACGTTAAATGATAGTATTGTGTGAGCACCTAGCTTTTATTCAGTTTGGAAATGGATCAGAATGATTTGCAGAATTGTTTCAGAAGATCCACATATAGTGATAAAACATGTATGGGGAATAAAATGAATGTCTGAATGTGGTGAAGTGGCAGTTCTGATTTTAATTTATGATCCTGCCTGGAAACATTTGGAAGTTCCTTTGATTATTAGTCAGGAAACAAAAGGAAAAATACAGTAGTGTTATCTTCTTTGCATCTGTCAATGTTCAAAGCCAATTTCATTTATATGAATGTGGGCTTCATCTTGCTTAGAAGAAATTAATTGAAAATCTGGGATTTTATTCTATATGTACTTCAGATGTGATTCCAACTCAGTAATTACATAGTAAGGATACTTATTTATTTGAAACAATTTGTTTAAATTAATTTATATAAATGGAGACTACACAATAAGGATGCTTCCTTTCTTGAGCTATATCCAGTATGCAGTACTATCTGCTGAATCTTTAAACAATAATATATAACAATAATAATAACATTGGTTGTAGCTCCAAATCCTTTCAGGATGGAGCTTTGAGTAATTTGAATGGTTTTCTTTCTTACTGGTTTTATACATTGTCCAACCATTTATGTGCAGCATTTGTACATAACTTGTTAGTGTATATTTTTTTGTTGGTCTCATTGAAATCAGTGTATGTATGAGATCCCTTTTATCATTGCAGAATCGTAACATTGGGATTACTGTACTTTTTCCATTCTGCTAAATTAGCATATGCATTTGCTGTTTATTTTTAATAAACAACATTTATTTCTGTAGTAGAATGAATTACGTTTTAGTCTAGAGTGCCATGGAAATCTGTGGCTGGGCTCCCACGCTATACTAAGCAGTTACGTTATTTGTTGGTTTTTGACTTTGCGATGTACAGACCCACCAATTATGACTTAAGTATGAAATGAGCTATTTGACTGATTCAACGAACTGGTATAAAAATTAACTCATTGTGAATATAATCATGAAGTGTTAGCCATAATTTAAATCACATTTCACTTGGCCCTAAATCGACTTTGCTTAGTTGAATTCTCCTGCATCTCTATATATTTATTTTGTACAAAGTAGTTCTAATCCCAATTCATTTTCATTTTTTAACAGTTTATATACTCAAATTATTCAAAAGTATTTTTTTTTCATTTACTTGTTTAGGTGGTCGCATTAGGAGATGTCCCTGATGGGACTTTGGTTACAGTTATGGCTGGAAATGATGAAAACTACTCTGCAGAACTCAGAAATGCTACTGCTGCCATGAAGAATCAAGTAGCAAGATTCAACGATTTAAGATTTGTCGGAAGAAGTGGAAGAGGTATGAAGTTTTTTTATAGTTTTAAAATAAAATATTAGCTTTGAAAAATATTTAGACCCTCTATTCATAGAGCCCTTTGTTGCAGGTGTCAAGTCGCTTGATTTTTTTTTTTTATCATTTCTCTTCAGTACAATTTTATTTGAGGATTTCAGCATGTATGAGGCTGATAGAATTATTGCAGATTAATGTAGCATATTCCTCATTTCCACATTTAAAAAATATATACAGTATCTATGCAACAAAGGTGATTAGCCAGAATACATAATAAAAGTTTGGTAGTTAAAATATGATGATAAATAAAAATATCATATCTGAATAGTTGAATTGAGTTGGTCAGTGCTTCTGACCTCCATAAGTGTTTTAGAACATCTAACACGGATCATAGCAAGCACCTGGTCTTGGGAAAACATAAAAGTTGCTTTAAAATGTTGCAGGTGAGGGCTATATACACATTTACACATTGCTGCATATTCTGGAACAAGTTCTGGAGTTCAAATTTATTCAAAAATCTGACAACATATTTGTTAACACAAAATTGTATATATTAATATTATTTACCTTTAAATAGAGAACATCTTGTAATCAGTTTGTTTACATTAATTATTTTGAAGGTCTCAACAATAATTTAGTATGCTTTTGAAGGATCATCTCATCCCACTGGGATTGCCCCCCCCCCCATGCCGTCAGAGGAAGCATGCTGCAGATTCATTGGCTGCGGGATCTAGCAGAGGAGCCTTCTCTTTCATCCCTTTGGAACATCTTGCCCCTCCAGAGGGAGGTTGCCTGAGCTTCGGCAAGAGCTTAAAGACCTGGCTCTGCCAGTTGGCTTGTGCCTCTAATGGAGGGGTTTCACATGGGTGGTTGAGATACATTAATAACCGATCCCAGTTCCCCCTTTCTCAATTTACTCTCTTACTCCCCATTTTTTAATTGGGGCTCAGTAATTGGAATTTTATTTTATTGATGTCTTTTAGATTTTGTATATTTTTATGTTTTCAGATTTTAAGATGTCCAGAGTTACCCTCTGGTAAGCTGGGCAGCTAATAAATTTTACAAATAAATGAATACATTTTATTTTATTATTATAGATGCATCTGAGTCATTCCAAAGTTATAGGGATGAAAGTGTATATAATGGCAGACTTATCTAACTTATCTAGCATATGTTGACTTAGATATGTTTTCGTTGATTTCCGTGGATCCTGTTTCCAAGTACACATACAAGATTAATGCACAATCTTGGGCCTGGATTCAGATTTAGAAAAAAATAATTGAACAAATGGAGCTTGCTTTAGTAATCATTAACTTGTTTCAGTCAATCTCGCCTAGCTAAAACAATGCCCAGTTATTACCCTTTTATTTTATATAATTTATATTTATTTATATTATTTTGTGTCTGTGTATGTATGTACAAAAGGAATAAATTAACAATGTAGGTTTCCTCTGTGATAAATCATTGGGCTGCTATATTTTTTGAAAAAAGTGACATTTGAGTAGCTTACAAAGTAGTTTTTAAGTTATTCTTGTTTATTGTATATTTGGAATTAATACGTTGATTGAAATTGGTTTGATTCATTTTAAATATAATCTAGCTTTCTGTGGCTATTTTATTTTTTAATGCCTTTTTCCCTATGTACAATGTTTTTATTACTATAAATTATGTCCATAGTTGAATTGGGACAGTCTGAATGTGTTTAATAAATGAATCAGTTAGGCAATCAAGACAGCTCCCCTTCTCAATGTGCAAATCCAAGTAAAGTATGTGTGACAGATGTCTATCTAGGTTCTACTTGAACACATTCAATGAGGTCCGCCACTTTTTGAGGTAATTGGTTCCAATATCGAAACTTTGTTACAAGGTTACACCCAACATTCAGTAGAGTTTTTTCTTATAACCACTACACATTCTCTTGGACAAGTTTACACATACAACTAACTATAGTAACAATTCTTATATTCAATCTGGAGCAGAGGTAGTATTCAACTGATCCACTTGTCCCGGTCGCTCTCCTAGCTTTCCCTACCACATGGTGGCCGTGGCGCAGCTCAGGCGGCGGTCTCAAGGCTGCTGCACATGCGCACTGCGTGTGCAGCTGCTACACATGCAGTGCGCATTTGCAGCAGCCCCAGGACATCCGTCTGTCTGCCCGCTCTCATTTTCTTCCTTCACCCAGTGGACGCACCTCTTCCAGCCTGGCCTGGCCTGGCCCAGCCAGCCAGCAGTTGGGTGGCGGATGTCCTGGGGCTTCTCGTCCCCCCCCCTTGTTGCAAAATGCCTGCAGCTGCTGCATGCTTTTTTCGGTGCAGCTGCAGTCTAGCAACCACACCAAAAAAAGCACACCCTGTTCTATGCACCAGCTGCTCAAAATTGCTGGGCCAGGCACATAGAACAGGGAGTATTTTTTTCAGTGCGGCTGCTGGACTTCAGGTGGAGGGGTGGAATGGGTGGGGGTGGGCGACCAGGGAGCATGACTCTTTGCCTCCCTCATTGCCCCTTTGCCTGCTACCCCTTCCCTCTCCTGCCCACAGCCCCTTCGTTGGACCTGGAACAATTGCCTCTAGTTAGTCCTGCCATGCCCGCCTGGTCGCACCCGTGTCGGCAACAGGCATCGTCATTTTGAAGTTGAGGGAGAAGTTGGGGAAGCAGGTGGAGGGTCCTGCAGTGGTCGGCACAGGAGCGCTGCTGAGAAGTGGGGAAGTGGCCTTCTAGTGGTCCAACCCGGTGTTCAGGCTGGTGGGCCATGGGAAGTCAGAGCACCGACCAAGGGAAAGGGGGATTGCCGGGGGGAGCCACTTTCTCCATGCCGAATTGGGACCATTTGGGGTAGTCCTAGGAATTGGGTGAGTCGAGCCACAGCTCTTTGCCTTCTTAGCTCAGGGAATGGCTGTTTTCTTCAGGAGGAGGATTGCAGAGGGGGGAGGTCTACCTGAGCGACTCTTCTGGTATCTTTGTTGGGTTATTTGGACACTTACAAGCGACCGCAACTAATGGCACTACCGTCGCACGTCAGCCCAGGCCTCACCCTGTGGCTCCGTAAAGCCAGCAGGTGAACCCTGAGTGCAATGCTTACTCGGATCTTGGCCACTCCAGGCCATCAAAACCCCTCAGGCTGACCTCAAAGCCCCTTGGGCCAGCTAAGCCGGGATCTGCTGTTACCAGGCTTCTACTCGCCCATGCTTGGTCATCACCTCTTCACCTTGCCTGAAGTGGCTGGTCCTGCCCCTCACCCTCCCCTCCCTCGCCTGGCCTGAGAAGATAAGGATGATGGTGGGGGATAGTGAAGGGGCCAGGTCCCTATCTTCCCCTCTCTCTCCCCTTCTCTCTCTCTCTCTTTCTCTGTGTCTGTGTGTGTGTCTCAAGGCTGTGGCTGGGCCAAGCCAGCAAGCTTTCCTTAGTGCTCTTCACTACTTCTTTCATTTCTTCTTTTTGGAATCCAGACAGGCTGAACAACGATTGCCAGCCATGGTGGAAGTGTCCCTTCAGATGGCCCTTCTCCTCCTCTTCCTCCTCCTCTGACTGGCAGCTGTGGTGGGACGGGGGGGTGCACACGTGAAGGGAGACACTCCTCAAGCAAGGACCAAAGCACAGCAAAACCAGGTGTGGGGCAGGCGCCGCTCATTTGAGGAGCGAGTGTCTCCCCGCGCGAGTGCACCTTCCCGAACCCGCCATGACCAGCAGTCGCGAGAGGAGGAGGAGGAGGAGGAGAAAGGTCGTCCAAAGGGATGCTTCCACCACGGCTGGCAATCATTATTCAGCCAGTCTGGATTCCAAAAAGAAGAAATGAAAGAAGTAGTGAAGAGCTCCAAGGAAAGCTTGCTGGCTTGGCCCAGCCACGGCTTTGAGACACACACACACACAGAGAGAGAGAGAGACAGAGAGACAGAGAGTGGGGGAGAGAGCGGGGAAGATAGGGAAGGGACAGAGAGAGAGACAGAGAGAGATACGGGGGGGGGGGTGGAGAGCCATAGAGAGAGACATACAGAAAGGGGAGGGAAAGAGAGAGAAAAAGAGAGGGAAAGAGAGAAAAAGAGGGAATGAGAGAGGAAGAGAGAAAGAAAGAGACAAGAAAGAAAAGAAAGACAAAAGAGAAAGGAAGAAAAGAGAAAGGAAGCAAAAGGAAGAAAAGGGATAGACAAAGAAAGGGAGGGAGGAAAGAAAGGAAGGGACAAAGAAAGAAAAAGAAAGAGAGGGAGGGAGGGAGGAGAAAGTGAATGAGATATATGGATGGATAGATAAATACATGGAGGGAGGGAGAGGGGAAAAAAGGAGAGGAAGGAAGGAAGGAAACCCTGGCTTCAGAAGACTCTTTGAAGCAACACAGCAATCTAGGGCTGGAAGGGATCTTGGAGGTCATCTTCTAGTCCAAACCCTGCTCCTGCAGGCGATCCTTACAGAAACATAGAATAGCAGGGTTAGAAGGGAGGGAGTCTGTGTGTGTGTGTGTGTGTGTGTGTGTGTGTGTGTCAGGTGGGTCTCCTAGCTTTAGAAGGAGGAAGGGAAAGGGACAGAAAGAAAGAAAGAGAGGGAGGGAGGGAGGGAGAGAAAGAGGGAGGGGGGGAAGGAGCAAGAAAGAAAAAGGGAGAGAAAGAAAGAAAGAGGAAGGGAGGGAAAGAAAAAAGAGAGAAAGAAAGAAAGAAAGAGAGGGAGAGAGGAGAAAGTAAATGAGATATATGAATGGATAGATAAATACATGGAAGGGGAGGGAGGGAGGGAGAAAAAAGAGAGAGGAAGGAAGGACACAAACCGTGGCTTCAGAAGACTCTTTGAAGCAACACAGCAATCTAGGGATGGCCTGCAAGGGATCTTGGAGGTCATCTAGTCCAACCCCCTCCTCCAGCAGGAGATACTTACAGAATCATAGAATAGCAGGGTTAGAAGTGTATATGTGTGTGTGTGTGTTTGTATGGCTGTGAAAACTCCAAAAATAGGTCAAGTAGCTCTGGGGAGATCAGTCATAAATTAGAACACTTGCTAAGCAACTGGCCATTAAGTGAGGACCA